ATAATACAATTCGATACACCGCGACCTATTATTCTGTTATCGAAACTCTCTTTCTTGTTTAAAACTTTATGAATTGTCAATAATTTCAAAATCTCTCTCTTTCCTTCTTATATATCGTCATTCAACACGAAACTCTTAACATAATAATAATAATATTGATTATATTTTAATCAGTCACACGATTCGAATATCTAATCAACGATAAATCAATTTGATTAGCCATCTTCATCCTTTTATACAACAGCCAACATATCAGATACGTATTATTTTTAAAAGTGCAATGAAGATATTATTTATTTACAGTAGAAATTGGAGATTTAACATCGATGTTTGATCGCAGTATTTTTTTCCTATCTCCATCGGAATGTGCGAATCGCGTGTTCGGATTCGACGATTACGAGACGGGTCACCTGCTTAAATTTCCCGAAATGCACGTATTTATCTTAACGCAAGCATCGAGTCCCGATGGGGCAATCTTTCGGGGCTTCGTACAATCTCGGCTGGTACGAAACTGTTTCGTACATCTCGACGGAGAATATTCTCTTATACACCGACGAGTAATTCTCTCATCACGCAAGCTTGCGATGTAATTTCACCAAATGATTTATGACGGCCATAATGACCGAACGAAGGTCACGATCTCGACGAGATCTTCTCGATCGGGGATCGAGCCGTACCGGCCGAGCTACACTGTTGCGCGCAAACCAGAAAAGTCCACTCGTTATTAGTTTTCCACGGTTGACTTGCTTTCGACAAGATTCTTTTCCAACTGGAATTCCTTGCATAAAAATATCGAGAATATACATATATATATATATATATCCGCAGAATTTATCGAGCCGAATATTCGATCGCATATTTTATTTACTAAAAGATATCGCGTTTCTTGTAGGAGGAGAAAAAGGCTTGTTCTCGAAGACGAATCTGAATCAGTCCGCGGATATACCTCAACGCATTTCGTTCCCGCTGCCTTGCCTGGACTAGTTTTTACATTCCGAGCATGACTCATTGTGCGCTTCGGATGAACCTGTTAGCGCCACCCTCTGCGTCGAACCGGTGTATCCCGCCACCGCATCTTTGTTCGTTAAAACAAACAAAAAAAAAAAAAAAAAAGGAAAAACTAACCGATTGGTATTAAAAATGATCTTCAACGTTCTCCAAATATATATATATATAATAGCCTCGTACGATGCAAGTCGAAAAACGGCGCTCGTATTCGGCCTCGATACCCCGATGATCGATCAATTTTAAGAGGAACGAATCGAACAATTTAATCGACCCATTAAGACACCGAAGGTTCTCACCGAATTAATAATCGTTGGCTCGACGTGAGTATATATGCACGGTGTATCTGAATACCCCCACGTCGAACGAGAAAGGCGAGGAGGGCGCGATAAAAATTCTCGCAATGCAATCAGACGGGTTGCTTAGGACCGCAAAATTGCGGGCATCGAATGTAAAATGGTACGGAATGGGTATGACCCTTTGGACGTGTACACACGGACACGGGGTCGCACACATCGGCGGCGAGGAGCAGTTAATGGAAGCTTAGAGGTTGATAGCCTTGAGTATGTACCGCGGTTGGTCGTGCCATGGCCGACCGATTCTTCGACTCTCTCTCTTGGGCTCGTCCGACTTGACCGCTCTTTACCTCTAGAAATCCAGCCGCCTCTCTTACCCTCCTCAGCCGGCTGTCCGTCCCATTCCATCCCTATTTCTCTGCCTCGCTCCTTTTCCAGGCCATCCTCGCCGTGATCCCCCACTCCGGATGTTGATGGTGCAGGGGCCGACTCGAAGCCTCGACGTAAACAGCGCGAAGGTTTTCGCTTGCCAAATTGGTTGGATAACGAGTCGGCCGCTAGAGGGACGCAGGATGCATTGAAAATTCTAGTGGATCGTAGCGCTGTTATCTTAATGAGCATTCTACTTGGCAATGAATTCTCTCTCGCCGGTCAATTCAAAATATTTATATATATATTAATATATACGATTTTCAGTGTACAGTTATCCGAAAAGATCAGATGTGTGTTTGTGCCGATTCGTTCCGTTATCAGCATCACGGTGGATGATATACTGTTATAATTGAAACGATTATCGTAATGTTTCACGCGTGTTGTTGAAAACCGTGACGCAAACTATGAAATTATTATCGATACAACTTTTGAATCTATCGGCGAGAATTTCATCCTGTATTTTCCACTTACGAGTTTCCTGTGATCTTCTAATTATAATGCTTAAATAACAGGTTTGCCGCCTCTGTGTCAACGATGAAATAATTAAGTTTGTAACCGAAGAATGCGAGCAATCGTTTTTATATGTCGTGTATGAGGACGGATTAGATTAACGGAAATTCGGTTTAACAGAACGCTTAAGCGTGAACGCGTCCGGGAAAACTTGGATGTGACCAAGCAGGCAACGTTATCCCAACACGATTTCAAACCAATGAGAGAGGATACTCGAGAACCGGGAGCAGGAGGAAACGAGAGAAATATATAGGGGTCTTTGATCTGTACACCCTTCCTGCAAGTTCCTGGTACATGGCCGGCCCGTTACCTCTAGTCACTACCAACTACTGGAGTAAATAGTAGTGTGGTCACGTGTTTGTTCAGATCCGGACGCAATTTACCATCGTTGGCGGTGTCTATAACTAGCGATAGGTGTTGCTATGATCGGTGTGAAGAACACCGGTGGAACAGACATTTTGAAAATCGAGATTACGTTTCAGAATGTAATTTAATTTCTTCAAGATATGCATAATTTAAGACATTTTATTCAAAATTATTTATCAATTGAGAAAGAGACATAAGTAATGTTCGAAACAAAGGAAGAATTGTTTTTGAAACGGAAGAAAAATATTGAAAATAATAAACAAAAAAAAATCTGATACGAATTTTCGAGAATTTTCTGCAAATTTTTCAATGAATTTTAAAAGAATGATGTATCAGATATTTATTAAAGCGGATATTAAAATACGGAAACGAAAACTTTTGAAAAAAAGAAAGATTATTTGAGAAGATATTGAGATTGACGTTTCGATGTTTCAGTTTCTGTTTTATCAGTTTTTAGAACGTTAACGCAATCAACAATGAGTGTCGTCTTAATATATCGCGGACGATATATCGGTCGATGAATCGCGTGACTTTTGTTAATACGATAAGTTCGTTACGAGACAGTTCTAACGAGGCAGTAAATAAGAGAAAACTGTGGAAACATGAGACAGTAATAAAAAGAAAATCGAGATTATAAATAATGGTTATGACTAGGAGAGAGAGAGAGAGAGAGAGAGAGAGAAAGAGAGAGAGAGAGAGAGAAAGAGAGAAGGAGACCTTGGTTAATTCTGGAGATGTTTTCGCTTACAAATTGGCTGTCCAAAAAATAAGCGAAGAGTTTAAAACCGATCCTAGAGGCTTACTGATTCTGAAATGCCCGAGGATAAGAGACACTCGAAGATTTTTCTTAGTCACGTAAAGAAATACGTAGCAAAAATTCCGGAAGGTAATAATTTAAAAAAAAAATATGAAATTTGCATAAGATATCTTGACAAATAAACTTATTACCAATTTATACTTATTACATCTATTTCCAATTTATATTTGTTCGGCATACGTTACTTTATTACGCTATCGATAAATTGCATTTATGCAAATGTTTCTTGCTTCGATTTTTCTTTTCTTTTCGTCGAGCGATAGAACCTACGTAAAAGTTTTTTACGTAGGTAAATCACGGTATAATGTATAAAAAATTAATTTTTTATGGATAAATATGTAAAGGATAGTTTAAGATATATCTTCGAGAATGACAAAGAATCTTATAATATCGTGAGCAGATGTAGATATTAGTCATCGACAATTTCTCGAAACGGTAAGATATTGTAATCGCAAATACTGATATGAAGTTATATGACATAAAGAGTCATCTTTTGAGGCGCCGTACTGATAGCCAAGGCACTTTCAAAAGCTCTAATATATCTCTATAAATAACATATTGCGACATCACTACAGTGTTGTCAGTTCAGAAAAATGGACATCGATATAAATCGTACTAAATTTTATCAATGACGAAACAATCGTCAAGAAATTTCACATTCAAACTCGTTTTTCTTCAAATTGTACGCAATAATATAAACCAAATAAAATTTATACTTTTATTTCATCCTTTATGCGCAATCGTAATACAAATCAATTTAAAATCGACAATTAAAATTTTCGATAAATCAAAATTATACTTAAAATTTGTACAACAGACTAAATTGTTTCGAAGTGTGAAATCGGAATAAACGAACGAAAACATAGACTTGAATTCAAGCCGCTCATTCATGTTTCACCTTGCAATCATATTTATATAGATCAACTTAAATTCTCTATATTCAGAGACCGTCTATTCATCAAAAGTCGAAATATGACGTCCGCGTATACACCATAGAGGAGCATCGTTCTCAAAGTTGCGTGCACTCTTGTACAGTGGTGCATATCGTGGCCGAGCTTCTCCCAAGTGGGGAGAGCAAAAGAGCACGGTACACACGATGGATATTCGTGCTGGACTAGAGGGACTCGGCTGGAAAAGGGACTGGGTTGGCTGGACTGTAAGAGATCGTTCGTGGAGAAGGGATTGTCGTCGGCCGTGGAACACCGTGCAGAGAGGAAGGGATTGCGCGTGAAGGGGAACCTGGGTCCGTAGAGGGGAGGAGGAGGACAACGGATAGATAGAGAAACGGAGTAGCGAGAAAAAGAGAGAAGGAGAGAGAGAGAAGCGTCGCGAAAGGAAGAAAGAGAGATGAGGATGAGAGAAAGGGAGAGAGAGAGAGAGAGAGAGAGAGAGAGAGAGAGAGAGAGAGAGAGAGAGAGGGAAAGGTGGCGTGCGAGAGAGATGGTAGAGAGGCCTGCTAGGCTCGCCTTCCTTGACTGCCGCGCGGCGCGCTAGTTTCGGCTTGCCGCTCCGACGTGACGGACGCTCTTTTCCAGTGGACGCCGGCTTACACGTGGAAGCGGCCTTCTCCGGTGTGTCGTGCTTTTCTTTGTTTTGATCGCGTGTGAATTCGTGTGTACGGGCTCGATATACAGTGGAATATTCGGTGTGACAGTGGAAAATAAGCGAATTACAATTCGGTGATTTCGTTTCTGTCGCGTGTACGCACTTCGATTGAGTTCAGTGAGCGTTACTCGAAACGAAGCGTTGTGAGACTCGGACACAGTGTTTATTCGAATCTACGCCATCAACTACCTCGATTTGGATTACGTGAATCTAAAGCAACGGACGACGGGAACCGTGAGAGAAAGGGGAGCCGGAGTGAAGCTCGACATTCAAAAAGGTGCGTCCCATATTCATACAAGTGTCTCGAAACATTTGAATGTGAGACAGTCAAGGATATATATATAATTTATACCCATTTTTCATGAAAAATATTCGATATAAGATGCTCGATTCACGTGGTCGATGTTGGATTTCAACGTATAAAGTCATAATTATCGTTAATCCGATGCAAAATTTTCAAATTTATCGACCGAATATTTCGATCGCGTAAGACACAAAATGGCGTCGTTCCAAAGCATCACGGTTTTATGGCGCGAGAAAGAAAATTATCGATTTAAGAAAAAAATTTGACGTAAGATATCCGTTTTTGTATAATCTATGTTTCTTATCTTTAAATTTATTACGGAATCGAAAATATTGAAATTCGCGATATGATAATGAAATCTCAAAAAACGGTTTCTTTATATCATTGACAAATTTGAATGACCGATCAAAATTTGTATTATATTTATATCTTCGATTGAACCGTATCAAAGGGAAAAACATTCGATTCTTCGCATTCGAATCGCAATATACGATATCGAATATAAACATGTACGTTTGTTGTGAATTTTTTTTTAAATTGATTTGGCAGTGTATTCTATAACAATAAACGAAATTCCGTTTTGTGGCGCAGATGGTGTTTGGCGATTCTGGGAATTTTAGATTTACAGATACACCTGAACCGTTTGTTTAGCCTGACGAACCTTAGCAATGCGATGTTTTTACTGAGGGTATCGTGAACGTGCTCGTCTCGCAAGCAATGTCAACAAACTCGATTATTCGGTTTCTTTGTTCATTGCTTTGTGTTGTCAAGTAACTCGTAAAAGTAAAGAAAAAAAGAGATGAAAGCATAAAAATAAGGAGAGATACGGAGAAATTTTTAATAACGTCTTTTCTTATATTCGAATAAGAAAATAGTATAGGATGAGAATAAAAATTTAACGTTGACATAGTCGGAAGAATGCGAAACGAATACATGCAAAATTTCTTTAGAATTAAAATGTTATTTCACAGTGCTTGCTGTTTTACTATCAAGAATGTTATTTTTTCATCGCGAGAACGGGAAAGGCGAGAAGGGGAGAAAATGATAGATGCGATATTTATTCGCATTAAATTAATGGCAACGAGACCGATCCGTGTCGTGGCTTAACGAATGTGCACCTTTCCACGTATGTACGTTGAAATCCTTCGGGCCACTCTATTATGTCGGAACGAGTTTCTTAGTTTCAAAAACCAGTTCTCGAAAAATTTTTTTCACCGTGTAACGCGTTGCTCAGAGAAGAAACATTGGAATTCGTCAGGCGATGGGCAAACTTTTTCTTTCGCTCACGACTGCGACGTTTAAAGTGGATAGATCGTAGCGTTAAAAGAATTCCACATTTCATTACCCTTTAAACGCGCATGTTTCGAGACTCGACTATATTACTTTAGATAGATAGATCGTATCATTGCGTATTATAGATAAATTGTCCTAGCATTTTGACGTTGATAGAAATAATTTTCTTCCATTTTTTTTCTAAATAGACAAACGTATTCTGAAATTACATGAATATATATGAACGGAAATGTATATTACGCACTTTTATTTGATACATAGCGTAAATATCAAATAGATGGCACTTATAAACGATATAAGATAGATAACAAAAAATGGTTACTTTCGAAAATTGAATTTAGCGAAAAGTTCCAAAAGAGAATTTTATTCAAAGTTATTTCCACAGTTCATTTTAAAATATGAAATCGAATATGGAAAAATGAATATGGAAATATTTTTCTTTAATTACGAAAGATTATAAAAGTAGGATGAATACAAATATTTGAACGATATTTCAAACTCTTTAAATATGAACAATATTTTTCATTTTATTCTTATTTGTTTATTTCATGTTTTTTTTTGAATTTCATATAGTCAATATTTTGGTATATAATAAACTTTTTGTGTTTCAATATGCTGTTATAAAGTCATAATTATTACATTATTTATGAATTCATTTGGATAATAATTATTTTAATCGAAATAGCTAAATAACATTTCTGAATAATTTAAAAGGACGATAAATGTCAAAAATAAAGAAATATAGTGTCGTTAAAATTCTAATACTTCTATAAATTTTCTCTGGCTTGTATAATACAATCGATCATTGTATATTTTGTTTTATTTTATTGAGCAATTTTCTAATTGCTATCAAGCAACATATTTTGACAAAGAACATAATTTCTTGTTTGCAATTAATTCCTGATAAACTCGACAAGTTCGTATTAATACTAACATTGAGTTAGAATAGAAATTTATGTATCTAACCATAAATTTACATACCACTGTTTTTTTTTTAAACAAATGAATTGACGTATATGGACATTTTACCATCTATTAAATTAACTATAAAATTCGTTGCACGGAAATATTTTAATTTTTCCTAATTTTTAATTTCATTTGAGGATCACTTTTGAAGGGAAAAATATGATAATTTATTTAAAACATAACATCATGTGAAAATATAATATATAATTTTACTGAATCTGTCCTATTTAAATTTAATTTTTCTTTTTGAACATTTCAAAAATATCAATTAAAATTATAACAAATTTAATAAAAAAGATCTGTACGCTTCCACCTTTTAAAAATATATATATATATATCTAACAAAATTTTCGAGATGAGTATAGATCTTCCACTTTTTTCTTCAATTTTATCTCGTATCATATAACAGGTTGTTCCTCTTTCTCTCTCTCTTTCTCTCTCATCCTCCATATCGCACCGCCTAATCAAAAATCAATAAGTAAAAACACCAAAAAGTCAAAAAAATCAACAAAGAAATTGACTTATCGTGTTTTCCCTTCTTTTACGGTCTTCATTTATTATTATTTCTGTCAAACCGGTCGATATATAGTCGCGTGCAAACAGGGACCACCCAAATTTGTCCCACAGATAAGATTTGAACGTGTAAAAGGTATCCACGATCGCCGATCCGTATATCGAGTCGAACGAAATTAGGTAGGCAGAGACGATACGTTGTTAAAGGCTTATGCGCGTAGTTTCCACGGGTGCTTTGACCTCTTGTCTTAGTCCGCATGTTAACGAGGCTTCGTTAATTACACCTCGTGAGATTACGACAGGGACAGGTGGCCGACGATTATCCATTATCCGTCCTAGAAACGTTGCTCGAACGGATACGACCAAGCATCAGAGATAACCACTGATTAATACACTCTATTCGTGACGACGGAATCGATGTCCAATTGACCCAGTCGTGATTTAACCGAGTGACAATGCCGAGTGAAAAAGTGGCGAGGACAGATATTTCACGATCTCGATTTTTTATCCTGACGTTTCCCAAAGTGGTGCAATTGATCATTGAAGATCGCGATCGCGTTTAGTGGATTCGATTATATTTCGCGGATTTTTTTCTTTCTTTCTTTCTTTCTTTCTTTGAAAAATTTTGGATTTGTTCTACGTCGCGATAAATGACACGCGAAACTCTTGGGAGTTTCAAGCCATTCTTCAGGATAATTCATTCGTTTTCGTTTAATTCGTCTAGGATTTTAAAGATCTATATATTTATTGAATTATACGTGGATTTCTTTCTTAATAAATTTTGGATTTGTCGTCCGTTCTTTATCATGACAAATGATCCGTGAAAATTGAAATTGAACGCTCGATTCCGGGCCACGGGAGAATAATTGATTCTTCTTCGGATATTTATGCCACTTTCGTAATTAGTCCATTAGTTCAATTGCTTCTTGAAAAATTTCCTCTTTAAAAAATTTTGAGAGTATCTATCTCTTAGTTGAGATCATCAATTGAACCCAAAAATAATTCTTTTTCAAAATATTTATACCACTTTCGTTAACGATCCATCCATCGAGAATCCCATCTTCCAAGATTCCAAAAACGTAATCTTATCCATCAAAGAGCAAAGAAATCGCAATCATGTCGATTGAAGAATTGAAAAATAGTTGAAATGGTTGCACTCGTAAAATTTCGAGCGGCAATCGCCGAGCAAGGATATCGTAAATTCGAGCAGGGCAATAAATGCTTGGTAAAAGATCGTTCGGCGTATAAAGGCGACAACGATGGGCCGGGCTCTAATACACGGGAACAGCTGGCACGTTCTTAATTCAACCTCGCTGAGAGTGCTGATCCCAAAGTGACAAAGGCTAATTTTATGAAGGAGAGAAACACTAGTGGTATAAACGGCCCCGCTCGAATTCTAGGCTACTTTATTCTGTACCCGTCTTAATCGTCCGAGATGTCGATTTTTATTGGAGTAATATATTCTTTCACGGCGTAGATACGAATTATCGATCTGCTCCTGCTGTTATCCTCGTTTTTGTATTCCCTTCTATTCACCAGACTATCTCTCTTCCCATTTGTTACCTTATGAACACCTAGCAAAAGATTCTCCCTTCCATTTTTTCGATCCATTTTTCTACGGTGAAAAATTAATCCTTTTTAATTAATACATTAATATATTCGCTACTTCATGTATGTCATATCCCAGCTTCTTTATAACGAACTTATTAATAAACTGCGGATATCTGTGCATTTATGCAAAATTGCAAAATTTGAATTTGAATTTTTGTCAACAAAAATTTATAAAATTATATAGTGCGCATTATGATATTTGAGAAAGAAAATTTTTAAACTCCATTCCTTTGGTTCATGTTCTTCAAAAATTTACATAAAAATCCGCAATCTATTTTCATAAAAATAATTCGACAAAAACGATCGCGTATAATATAAAGAACGATTGACTATACTTTTACCATCATCAATATTTTTTAATATCAAGTTAAACGAATCGTAACGCTTTTAAGGGCTGAAAATCAATCGTTTTGCAGTTCGTGCCACGTTGTCGAACTGTCTCGTTAGCTGTCTTTAAACGCTTGTAAGAGGTCGGTGCAATCTGATGTAAAACTCGCCTCCACTCGTATCGTAACCAGAGCATGAAAAAGGCGAGGACTAAACAGCGACACGTGCACCGGCGAAGAAAAGACAATTTTTCGCAAAATGCC